TTTTGATATAACAATATAATCCACCACAGCTTTTTCAGTGCTGTTCCGAGTCAAAATTTGTGTCTAATTTTGGTATTTTATCAGTCGCAAAATTTAGCATCAACAACATATACAACAAACAATGGTCAATTCATTAATAATGACAGTGAATGTGATTGCCGATATGCATATACCATATGAATGCAGTGAGTCAGTGAATAGACTGTCTCTGATTGGCTACCCAAGCTCATCACCTGATGGCAAGACCAATCAGAAGGCAGCTTGTTTGTTGATATTGTTTTTTTATTTGGCGTAGCAAATTATGTTCTGCATAAATGCTTCGGCTCAGCTGTATATCGTTTCAAATACAATCGCTAGTCAATGGTATTTTATTAAAAGTTTTGAGAACCGAAAAAAAATATAATTTCCTTGAAAAATGATGCCGGACGCGTTTTATATATTTTTGAATTAGGATTATATAATCCCCAACAAGATTTAAGTTCTATGTTTTACATTTATCAAATAATGGTTTCGAATTTATACATTAAATGTTTATTTGTGTCAACAAAACTTCTTCTAAAAACAGATAACAAACATTTCCCAATTCTGTCGTATGTGGCCCACCGGAACTCATCGGTGGGCAAAAACGTTTTTTCTGGCCGAATATCGATAGAATGACAACATACCGATTCTTAAATTGGCCTCTGCCGTAGAACACAGCATGACGGGTTAATGTTAAACAATCACTACGTCATTACGAGGTTGATGTGTCATACTATTACAATTTACCATTTATTATTACAGGATGCGCCTACATGAGTGCAAATCACTACAGTCATCGCTTTCAATGCTAGGGACAATTCTGTTACCAAATACGGGAATGACTAGCGTTTATTCAGAATAATCACCGGTTATATTAGTACCTTCCATGGTCATATGAACTTGTGTCGGTGCCTGTAATATTGACGCGTAAACAGAGTGAATATCCGAGAAGAACAATGGGCGTACTGCTTGTAATAGAGTTGTTCTGTATGCCTTGCAACTTACGCTTGTTAAAAAGAAATCAACACTATATCGAAAAGTACATTGTACTCGTAACTTTATCGCTGCCTGTTTTTACTTGTTGGACTCAATATAATAGGTCGGTTCACAGCATAGTACCTATGCGTTAAATCGAGAAATATAGCATAATATGTATAAAAAATGACACAACTAGATATAGTAATCCAAAGATGGAAACTGGTTTTCACTTTCCTTTATGAACGTTGTGTTTAACGACGTGTACCTCGAGGCCAGCTTAGTAACAAGGGAAACAGTTGAGCGCCACCACGAAGTGAGGTTTGGTATATATTTCACTTTGCTCTTCCACATTGGTGGAGCTGGAACATTTCACCGCCATCCCATTGTAATGATACGTAAGTGCTTTATGACAAGTGAATACGCAATAACTACAGGTGGTGTGGATCTACGGCACGCCATGGAAAACTACAAGTGTATACTGGTGTTATTACTATTACAAGGTAAGATAACGTATATGAAGTTAATCTAATGACTGCAGTGGAGATGTCTATTTCATCATCCTAAGAATATATTGTATGCGTATAATACTGTCAGTGCCCCGTGTCATACGAGCCGGACGAGTATGTTGTCCTGTCGAACGGGCCATCACTCAGTCCAATACGACAACC